AGACAACGCAAGTTCAACTTCACGACGAAGGGACCACTGGTTGTCAATAACCAACTTCTCAAATTCAGAGCCAATTTCAACTTCACAACGAAGGATATTGGACTCCAGACAACGTAAGTTCAACTTCACGACGAAGGGACCACTGGTTGTCAATAACCAACTTCTCAATTTCAGAGCCGATTTCAACTTCACAACGAAGGATATTGGACTCCAGACAACGCAAGTTCAACTTCACGACGAAGGGACCGCTGGTTGTCAATAACCAACTTCTCAATTTCAGAGCCAATTTCAACTTCACAACGAAGGATATTGGACTCTAGACAACGCAAGTTCAACTTCACGACGAAGGGACCGCTGGTTGTCAATAAACAGTTTCCCAATCTCAGGGCCGATTTCAACTTCACAACGAAGGATATTGGACTCTAGACAACGCAAGTTCAACTTCACGACGAAGGGACCGCTGGTTGTCAATAAACAGTTTCCCAATCTCAGGGCCGATTTCAACTTCACAACGAAGGATATTGGACTCTAGACAACGCAAGTTCAACTTCACGACGAAGGGACCGCTGGTTGTCAATAAACAGTTTCTCAATCTCAGGGCCGATTTCAACTTCACAGCGAATGATATTGGACTCCAGACAACACAAGTTCAACTTCACGACGAAGGGAATCGTGCACACAAGCAGCATCCATTTCTAGATTGGATTTCAACTTCACGACGAAGGATATCCAACTTAAAGAAGGAGTGTCTGTCAATAAACTTTCCAGTTCCAGAACCGATTTCAACTTCACGGTGAAGGATATTGGTCTCAAAACAATACAACCTACTTGGATTTCGACTTCACAACGAAGAATATCCAATTCTCAGGCTCAACTTCACGACGAAGGGGCCATATACATGTACAACTTCACAACGAAGGGTATCATACCCCAACGGATTGACTTAACCTCACGACGAAAGGGTCATCTGTAACATCACAACACCAAAGTCTTCAGTTCAAGTTCCACCTTCACGACGAAGTATCTTGAGCCAGAAGACGATTCAGAGGCCACTTGTCAAAAGCTTTGAGCTCGTTTTCAACTTCACAACGAAGGATTTCGTGCTCAGAATTTTCTAGTTCAACTCACGACGAGGGATTCATTTTGTGTTTTAGACCAAATATCGGATTTCAACTCTAAAACAGAGGATATTCGATGGGATTTCACCCCTATATGGATGGTGTTAAATTTGGATACATTTATGTTAAACAAAAAAACGTGTCTTTTAATCTTTGTCCTACACCCGTTACACGACTATGGACAAAGAGGGGCAGCTGTAAACACACTTTTTTTAACCATTCATTCAATATTTTATTAACTTTTTGCACCCCACATAGTTAGAAAACAATAACCCACTCAAACACTACCCAACAACTTTCCCCTTCCATTGTGCAACCACTACCCCCACTAACTCAAAACAAATCCCATAATTTTCTCCTTTTAGTTACATTTTCTTTCTTCTTTTTAAGGGGGCCACCATTTTTGGCTTGAGGGAGGGAGGCATATCTCTGTTTCTTTGTCCATGGTGGGGGGAATGAAAGTAAACGTTTGCTGCCAATAAATGGAAGAGAAAAAGAGGGAGAGATGGAACCCGCTGCGGCTCGCCATTAATGCCTAGAGGGTTTACATCACGATTTATTGGTTCCTTTCTCCTTCAAAGCCACTGCCTCCTCCTTCATATCTACACATTCAAACCTAATCCAAATCCTCAGAAAAGGAACAAAAACAATCGAACGACAATGGTGGTCAAAGGCGAAGAATCTGACAAAATCTTGGAGCTCTTCTTGAAGATCGGTTTAGACGAACGAACTGCTCGTAACTCCATCGCTAATAACAAGGTCACTTCTAATCTCACTTCCGCCATACGAGGTCAACCTTGCTCGTTCCACCGTTCCGGAAGCAGAATATGTTTGGCGTATTATTTTGATGCCCTTGTCGCTAAGGATACAAAGCAGGCCGCATATGAGATGTCAAGGGAGTTACAGATGGAGCGAGATAATGCACTCAAAGAGGCTGAAGAGTTGCGGAAAAGTCGAGCTGAGTCCTCAGGTAAACATATGCATCGGTTTTCCACTGAGTTCTCTTTCAAAAAGATTGAGGAAGCAATGCTCAACTTTGATCCCTCCCCGAAGATTGGGGAAGAGGGATATGGAAATATTTCTATGGGTATTCTGCGTCATACCACTGTGGCCATAAAGTTGTTGCATTCTAATAGCTTGCAAGGTCCATCAGAATTTCAACAGGAGGTATATTATTGTTAGTTTTTTGGCCAGTTATAAGTATCGATTTATTTAGTGTTCGTATGGATGCTTGAACTTGATGGATATACGTTTTCTGGCAGAGCTATTACGCTGAATAAAATATAATGGTTTTATACTTGCAGTATACTATTTACCTGGTTTTTGTCTTGACCTAGTCACTGTAATAATTGCTTGCTTTGACATCAATATCTTTGATCCTTGTTTTGCTTTGTTTTTTTTGTCCCTTTTTTTTTGCATGCATGGATGATGAGATTGAGGAAAAGCACAAACGGGGGGACCACGAATCATTGAGGGGAGGCCACTCATTCATCTCTCCTTTTACTTCCAACAGAACCATTGGTTCCCACGGGGGGAATATGTACAGAGGAAAAGCACCAACGGGGGACCGGGAAAAACGAAAAGAAAAACAAGGGAGCGAGAGAGAGATCAATTGGTTTTTCACACTCTCGACTTATAGTTTTTTTCTTGGAACGAAGAGAGTGGAAGAGCAGCGGCAGTACCGGTGCAATGGCCTGGCCACGGCGTCGAAACCTTTTTCACAGAAACCGCATCCGATCTCTGTAATACCAGCTCCAAATTTGCAAAAGCTGAAGCTGTTTTGCATCCCACTCGATATCTGTCTATTGCACTAGTGGAGGTTTGAACCGGCAAAGAACTGGGATTACTGATGCAGTTGTTGCTGCTCGCGTTCTGAATGCTACTCTTGTTCCAAAGTTGGACCAAAATCCTTTTGGAAGGATGCCAGTAACCTCTCAAAGATCTTTTATGTTGATTGGTTCATATCATCTTTATCAAAAGATGTTGAAATCATAAAGCACCTTTCTAAAAGGAAAGGGAAGAGTTGGACTCCATACACCATGTGTGTTCCAAGGAAATGTAGTAGAGAGGCAATTTCATGCGAAAAGAAGATCGAATCCACGTTCACGACGTCAAAACGAAACTTCCCGTGAAATTTCGGCTCGAATAGTGACTGGCGATGAGCATTGCTAGCCCTTGAAAAATGGAGCTGAGGCGAGCACTTCTCTGTGTTCATTTCGTGGAGAGGGAGGAGAAATAAACCAAATTGAAATTTGGTTTTCAAAACACGTGCACTGTTATAATTTCCAACAGTGTAACATGTTGGTCTTGAATTCCTTAGGGCCAAATTGTTGTTTCAGTCCTTCCAGGTTTGGATAAATTTCATTTGTCTTCTTGAAGTAATTCCTAATTGTGATTTGGCCCCTTAATTTTTTTATTTTTTTTTTGCAGTTCATCTTTAGTATCAATTTAACCCATCAATTTTAATTTATTTCAATTTAGTCCTTTAAATTTTTAGTTGTTCATTTTTTTTTCTTTTTAAGTTTAACATTTTTAATCTTAGTTATTTTTTTCCTTTTAATTTTTGTATTTTTTTATTTGTTCTTTCTTATTTTTTTATTACCCTTAAAATCTAACATTTTCGACTCTTTTAGAAGAATTTCAACCAGTCAAAGGTGGGTAATTTGAATCGGGTTTTTAAATTTTAATTTCAATTTTCGCAATTGAGACAACCGACAAATTAAATGGTACCGAAAGGGCAGTTCAAGGGTGCTAATCCTTCGTTGACTGTAACCGACTCCCGAATCCGATATATATTTCTGGTAAAACGCAGAGCAGATAAGATGGTGTCCGGCCCACCTAAATTCGTTTTAAAGTGGTCGGTGGCGACTCCAATTTATTTAATCCAAGTCGAAGCCCAAGTTTGGGCCCAACCGAAAGACGGTTGCGACAACAAGTGAAAAAGATTATGTGATAATTAAAAAATAAAAAAATTAACATATCAAACCACATAAACATTACCTAAAAAAATAAAATTTAAATACTAAAATTAAATAATACTTTTAACGGCTAAACACTTTAACGGATAACTTTAAAACACTAAATATAAGCTTTAAAAAAATTAAACACTTTTTCTTAATATTTTTAAACTATTACAAAAAAATCGCATTTAAATAAATAAAAATATATATGATTTTAACATTTATTTTCTTAGTTAAACTTGACGCATATTGTTTTCTTATCGAGAGACATTAACCTAACATCTCTGTTAACTCAATTACAATTATTTTAACAACAAAAACATTATTTAAATTTAATCAGTCCGATGATTTATTTTTAACCAATTCCAGTCCCTATCTCGGTAGCTTAACTTTTATTTTTTAAATTCTCTAAAAGAACTTTTATTTTTTAAAAAATATATTTTAAAAAAAAGTTTTTTTTTAAAAAAAAGAAAAAAAATAACTTCCCACGTTTGGTTTATGATTTGAGATGTATTATTATCTTATATCCACTTCCCCGATAAATTAGGACATACTTTGAATCCTTTCTTTAATTCCTTTATCACACGTTTTTCTTAAATAATTATTTTTAACCAAGTACACGAAACCAATTTCATTTCTTGAACGATCCAAGCAAACCGGAACCACCGGAGCATCTATCCTTTCGTTCCATCCGTACGGCCGGACTGGGTTGCAACTCCCGGAGCTCACCATCTCCGGCAACCGCCTATTCTATTCCCCTTTTGAAACTTCTATTGTACGGATGGAGTAGAAGCATGAAAAAACAAGTTCACTCCCTTTCTTCCCCCCTCCCTTTTTCTCTTCATTTTCGTGTTCCTGTGTCAAGTAATTGTCTTTGAGCCCACTAAAAAAGGCTGACTCCGAAGAAAACACACAGAGGTGCCAAAAACTCTACTTTACTGTATACCTTAAATCCTTCCAAAAAAAACTGCCTTCTCCTTCACTCCCCTCTTATCTATATATATCCTTTTCTTCTTCTCCTTCCTTCCCTCACCAAGAAAATCAGGAAAAAAAAGTTTTTAACTTTGGGTTTTTCTTTCTGTGTTTCACGGGCAAATTTGAAGCTAAATTGGTTGGGTGTTGGGTTAAATTAGTTTATCGGTGTTTTTGAATCGTGAGTTTTTCGTTTCTTCGGGGGTAATACCCTGGTTAGACAAATTGTGGACATCACGGCTATACACAGAGTTCACCGGCCTCTTATCCATGCCCGATCTGTTCGACCGAAGAGTTGTGTAACAGAGAGCAACCCTTCGCCGAACGGTGGGCGTGGAGCTTTGCCTTCCGAAGGCGGCAGTCCTTCGGATCTCCTCTTCCTTGCTGGTGGTGGTCTAGTCTTTTAGAGTTTCAGTAGTAAGTATTAACTAGCCTTTAGTCTATTAAGGGAAAAAAAAGAGAAAAAAATTACTGTCATCGAAGATGTTTATTTAGATCGCTCGTAAGAATAAATTGCTCGTAAGAAAGTAGTAAGAAGATGATGCTCAGGATTAAGAGGGTTCCCACTGTTGTTTCGAATCACCAGAAGGATGAGACGGAAGAGACCGCTCGCCGTAACGGTGGATGTGGAAAGAACTGCCTTAGGAGCTGCTGCATTCCAGGTATTCGTTAAATTTACTTTGTGACCTTATTTGTTTGAAGAAATGAGGTTTAACTGGAACTGGGTTTTGGTTTATAGGAGCAAGCAAGAGGCTGAATAAGATTGATGGCGAAGAAGATGTGCTTGCAGTTGAGGACAACGAACCCCCTGTTGCTTTTCTCAACTCACTCATTCTTGGGGAGGTAAATTTTGATATTACAAATAAGATTAAGATCATTGCGATGGTTGGTAATTGTTGTATTATACAAATAGTGAGGTTAAAAGGTGCTTTTATGGGTTTCTGGTAGTGGGAAGATCGCATGCAGAGAGGGCTCTTTCTGTATGACGTTACTGCCTGCGAAACTAAGGTCTAATTTTTCTGCTTCTTTCCTCTTTCCTTACTTCGATTGTTTACCTGCAAATAAGCTGAAATGTTATGGTTATTTGAGTTGTTAGACCATGAAAATATTATATTTTATCATTGTTTAGGTGATTCCTGGTGAATATGGCTTCATTGCCCAGCTGAACGAGGGCCGCCACCTGAAGAAGAGGCCAACTGAATTCCGTGTTGATAAGGTTCTCCAGCCCTTTGATGGGAACAAGTTCAACTTCACCAAGGTCGGGCAAGAAGAGGTTCTCTTCCAGGTTGAGGCAAGTGAAGATGTTGAAGTTCAGTTCCACCCAAGTGCTCCCATCGATGTTGAGAATGCCCCAAGTGTTGTAGCCATAAATGTATGCTAACTCTACTAATTCATTGTATAGAATAATTAACACAACAAGAGTGTTAGGCTTATCAGAATTAACATTGTTTGCATACAATTCGACAGGTCAGTCCAATTGAATATGGACATGTGCTGTTGATCCCTCGAATCCTTGAGTGCTTGCCCCAGAGGATTGACCGTGAGAGCTTCTTGCTGGCACTGTATATGGCAGTTGAAGCTGGGAATCCAAATTTCAGCTTGGGTGCATTTGCTACAATCAACCACCTTCACTTTCAGGTTTTGACATCCCATTTTTGTACGTTATGTACTTTGTGCCACCATGACATATCTATCTGTTGGATGAAGTTATGGTTAGGTGACTTAACTATTCCGATCACTGCAGGCTTACTACTTTGCTCTGCCCTTTCCCATTGAGAAAGCTCCCACTAAGAAGATAACCTCTTTGAAGGATGAAGTGATCATCTCAGAGCTTTTAGACTATTCGGTCAGGGGTTTTATCTTTGACGGTGGTTACACTCTTCAGAACTTGTCTGACGCTGTCTCTGATGCCTGCATTTGCCTTCAAGAGAACAACATACCATATAATGTCCTCATCTCTGATTGTGGAAAGCGGATCTTTCTCCTTCCACAGGTTATATAAACTAAGTCTAATTAACATTCTTTTATTACATGCATGCTGCTGCTAGTTCTTACAATTGACTTTGGAATTTCTCAATTGAACCAACGGTGCTATGTTGAGAAACAAGCTCTTGGGGAAGTGAGTCCGGAGCTTTTGGACTCCCATGTGAACCCAGCTGTGTGGGAAATTAGTGGTCACATTGTGTTAAAAATGAGGAAGGACTATGACGAGGCATCTGATGAAAACTCTTGGAGGCTCCTTGCCGAGGTCTCTCTCTCTAATGAGAGGTTCCGTGAAGTGAACAAACTTATTTTCGAAGCCATTGCCAATGGCGAAGATAACATCGAAAGCACTGCCAATTCTATGCTTAAGGAGCCCGTCGAAGAAAAGAACACCGTCACTAAAAGCTCCCACCGTACCATGGTGTCCGGGACTCAAGAATGCCTCGTTCAGCAGTAAGAACCGGCGTTGCACAAACCGAACTCTGCCCCTTGTATTTTCAGTTTCGACTATGTCTGTTTGGTGTCTATGATCGTGTATGTGTGTTGTATGGCACTGGTAGCCTAAATAAGCAAACTTAGTTTGCCTTGATGTGTATGGTTATTCAACATTGTGAAAACTGCTATCTGCGTGTTGGTTTGGTGATTGGATAATGTAAAATGACATTAATGTTGTGTATTACGTGCTAATAAATAAGTGCATGTGATTATTGTGTGCTGTTATGTTTGCTGGGTTCTTGGATACATAGGCAACTGGTTTTGTTAACAGAAAATATAGTTGAACCAACTTTACCTACCTCGTTATTTTGATTCTTCATGGGATGATGAGCAACAAAGCACATGCAAACAGGAGCTTAAGTTTCTTACTTCAAGAAAATCACCAAAGCATTTTACACTCGAATTTAGAATTCATAAATAGGTTATTCTACTTGTTATACCGGTCTATGTTAATAGGCTTTGTTGACTTATTGTACTTTGTGACCATTACTAAATGACAAAACATTATGGGTAGGAATAGAGCTAACAAACATACATCCAAATCCACAAGTAATCTTTGAATGTACGAAACTAACATGAATATTGTATCCTTCAGATCATGTCTGAAGGAGATCCTAGATTCAGACAAAACATAAGGTTGCCTGTCTGAATCTGTAGGGAAAAAAATTAATAATATTCAATCTTCTTCTAAACCATGCAATTTAGCCAAAACCCCAACAAGGCTCGCTGTGTTATAAGTGCAAGCCTCAGTTTGTATGAAAATTTTCCTATCATCCCTGAATTCATCCATTTGATCTGGCCCTCCGACAAGTGCTCCGACGACAACATTAGGGTTTGGTTCATTTTTATGAAACCAATCATCGTACCCTTGAGTGCACCCTATGAATCCCTCGTTCTCCCTGTAGGACTCAATTGATCCTCCCCTGTGGTGCATCCTTTGAGGGTAACTCGAATCGTATCCGACACAAGCTTGGATTCCATCTACCTATGCTTTTCTTCCACCAACAACTGCATGAAACATAACGAAATGTTACCGAAATCGATCGGAAACAAAATTTTCATATTATCAACACAACGCTCTAACATGCATGATAATCGATTATGAACACAAACGTAAAAGTACGAATTTTGATGTGTAAAAACTGTTTTGTTACCATTGAAGCAATGATCTGAAGACCAGCAAACTTGACATCCCAGCTGAACTCGTTCATGGATCAAATGATCCCACCGAATTCATTTGCATTCTCCAAATCATACCTCAAATAATCATCCTTGTCGGTAGCCTTGTATTGCCACAAAGTTGCCCACAACAGCTCATCTTTGAACCCACTCACCGACGGGTAGTACCCTTTCACCATCCTTGCACTTTCATCGTACTTCCCTCTATACTTATCCCCAAACTCAAACAATTGCCCATATATTAATAGATAATAAGCATTAAATTAGTTAATTACTTGTGTTTTTTTCCTGGTGAACGATATCACATACTAAATAAAATATGGCAACAAATATGGCAACCTCATTAAGCTAGGTTTACCTGTTGTGCATGATGTAGTAGTAGGTGAGTAATGTGGGTTTGTTTTCCTAAACACAATTGAGGCTGACGCCATTACCGCTGCTGTCTCCCCCGCAACGTATGATCCCGGGTTCCTCTTGTCGATCTTGTAGGCTTGCCGAGATATCGTCATGTCCTCGGACCGCTGCCAACAGTAGTGACCTGTGTCTCCATCACCCACCCAGTTAAAAAAACTCATTGTCATTGAATATGTACTAAACAAAGGTGATTTAATTTAATTTTATTTCTCTTACTTCGGCCCATAAGACGTTTGGGTGAGTATGGGCTTTGATGAAATATTCGGTTCCCCATTTGATGGCATCGAGAGCGTGAGTGTACTCTCCGGCACTGGCGATCTCGTCATCGTATTCAACGACACCCTATGAGAGCATGGAGATGGTGAAAGCCATCGGCAGACCGAATTTCACATTGTCTCTGGCATCATAGTACCCTCCCACCAAGTCCACCTTTTTATACAAAGACATATATAATCATATATCAAACTCAAACACCACTATACATATAAACATGGATATGCAATGGAGGGGTGGCTTACCCCTTGCTCGAGGCCGTCGGAGAGGCCGGAATGGTGGCGCCAGGTGACTCTTTGGTTGTAGGGTAAGCGGCCGGAGCGTTGGGATTCGAAGTAAATGAGGCTTTTGGAGAGGGCTTTGCCATAGTTGAAAGATAGAGTTGAAGGCTATATGGCCAAGAAAGAGATCAAAAGAGTAGAGCACCAATGGTGGAGAAACTTGTTTTGAATTAAACATAGGCGTTGCCTTTTCTCCTCCATTGGAGCTATGCTTAAGCTTTTTTTTCCTCCTACTTATTTATGTGTGTGTAGTATATTTTTTATTCATACAGGGTAAGCAGAAGGAAATAAGGATAGTAAGATCAGATTGGATTGAGCTGGATTTTTTGTCAATCTAACCTGATATGAAAATTATGTATCCTCCATCCAAATCTGATCCAACCTAAAAAAATATGTAACGTTCATTCGACCTTACATAATCTGAAAAATATATATCATCCATCTGATCTGACCTGAATTTTTAGAGTATAAATATGACCCAACTCGATCAGGTATAAAATAAGGACTTAATTAAAAATATTATTTTTTAAAGAAAAATACATTATTATCTCCGGGTCGTGTCGAGTAAGAGTTTTTTCACCATCCACCACAACTCGACCCTACCCTACCCTACCTCACTCCCTTAAAAAATCCAACCCGATCCGACCTGAACCCAAAATCATTTTTAAAAAATCCAACCCCATTGAATCGGATCGGATCAAACACATCGATTTCAGGCTGAATTGTTATCCCTACAAGGTAGTATATGATAAAATATAAATCTCAACCATTTAAAATTAAACGATTACACCATTGACATTTCTGATGCTAATATCTCAAAAAATAACAACAATTTTTTTTCCTTCGAGATAGCTTGATTTGTACGTTGTTGATATATTATATTTTTAAGGGAGAAGTTAGGGGGGAAATTAAGAGTTAAAATTAAATTGTATTTTTTTAATATTTAAGATATAGTTTTATCATCATTTTAATTTACAATTTTAAATTTTAAAAGAACAAAACATATACCAACAAATAATACGTATATAGATTAATATGTAAACATCATAGTTGGACTTTAAATTGTAACACATTATTTAAAGAAATACCTGTCATATTTTCTCACCAGATTTGATGTTAATCCACCCAACGGCCGAAATTATATTAGTAAACACAAATATTGCAGATAGCACATTAAATTGGAATTCCAAATTTATAAAGCGACTTTTAGTGACCCTTTTTTCATTTTGTATTGGATCTTCAAAAATCAAATTATAAATTTTGAAGAACAAAATAGTATTGAATAATTTACATTATATGTATCCATGCATGTCATAGTTGGACTTTTAGAGTGATTGAAACAGGAACAATTTGAAAATTGAGTAGTTAACTTGAAAAATTTTAAACTTTAATGACTAAAATAGGAGTGAGAAGATAGTTGAGTGATGAATAATGTAATTTATCCATAAAAATAATTAAATTTTTAACAATGATGTACTAAAATAAAATAAAACTGATAATTTAGATATTAAACTTGTAATTTACACACTAGTTTAACGTTTAGGACAAGTTAAATAAAATAGAGTTAGAAAAACACAAAAATATCCAAAAGAAAAACATGAAATGAAACAAAGCCCAAATATATATGGGAAGAGGTTCGGGTGAAAGGGGAAAAAGTACCATGGGAGGATATGGTATCATCGGTATGTAGTGCATGGAAAGGTAAGTCACTCACAACTATTTTGAAGCTTACTTGGTATACTTATATCTATACCCTGTGGGAAGAAAGAAATCGAAGAATGTTTCAAGGCTGTTCCAGAACAGCCGAAGAGATTCTCAAAGTTATTAAGGATAATGTATGAATCCAATTAAGGGGGGATATTAATAGACTAGATAATGGTAATTTTAACATTTGTAATTTATGGGGTATAGCCTAACCGATCAATTGATTTTGTAAGTAGTTTGTTCATAGTTTTTGTTGGTGATTGATTATTTTGTAGCAGAATTCTGCTCTTTCGGTAATAAAATCATAATTATCCACACAAAAAAATCTTAATTTTAGGTATATCATTTATGCTTATAGTGTCCTCTTTAAGCTCTGATCTATCATCTTTTGTGTGAAAAATAAAAAAGTTATAAACTTCATATTCTTTTGAGTGACTTAAAAAGAAATGCACAAGTCAAATCAACTTGACGATAAAAAAATTATTGATATTCTTTGAGATTTCGAGTTCAAGCATCATAAATGTAAAATTTTGATTAATAATTAAATTAAATTATATTGTAATTCTAGTGATTAAAATATCTAATAATTAAATTTTTTTAGATAAGAATTCTTACGAAATCATAATTTTTTATGACCAAGTTTGTTTTCTCTATATATATCATGTAAGTATTAATTAATCTTTAGAATTACGAGAGATGTAGTTTTTCTTTTTGAATTTTTGAAAAGCTTATAGTGATTATATCGTTGTATATTTTCAAAGCTTCTCTTAACTATCGACAATGCACATCCTTACATCCTAACTTTGCAGGTGCAACTACTCGAACTCAAAATTTCTAGAGAGAACAACACTCTCTTTAACCACTACAGTGAAATCGTATGATATATTCAAAATGTAACTACTTTTATGATCTTTACAATTTTGCCATTGCGTAGATGATTTCGAAAATATATTAGAAAAATATTCTAGAATATAATAAAATTTTAAATATATATACTAGATTTAAGATATATATAAAATCTCATTTATTTATGTTTGTGTGATCATATTTATATTTTTCCGTGTTAAGCTCTCTTCCCAGATAAATGAGACGTTTTTTTTCTCAAAATTAAAAAAGGTATTATTATTATTATTATATTTTTTATCATTCATCTTTTGTTGTTTTTTTTTCAAAAAATATTTTTGGAAAAAAATTAAAAAGTTTTAATAAAGTTTTAATTTTGGTTCAAAATAACAATAAATTGAAAATAAATTTCTTTTCTAACTATTTTTAATTATAGTCTTTTTTTTACCTTAATATTGGGATAAAATACCAAATTTTAAATTTTAAATACTATGGGTTATTGATGAGATTTGAGCTTAAACATTTTCTTTG